TCGTTCATAGCTACGGATTGCACGTAGAACTGGAACAACACAGAAGACTGTCGCCGAACGCATGATGTCCTATGTTGTCGACAAAACAATCAAAATAAGCGCGAGGGATTGCTAATTACTTACAACTCGCAACACACTATGTCAATCAAAAAAATTTTGGCGCAAATCATCAGTTGAAAGATCTTTGCATTGCTGACCAGATATGCGCCACATATCTTTTAACAGAAGACCTGTGCGGAGGGTGCACAGAGCTAGAAGACCTATATGGTCGAAAACAGAGGAAGTTAAACAGAGAACTTAGTGCTCAGTTAACGATTTCTTGAATTCTCGATGAGCTCCGAGATGACCACCAAGTTTCAGCCTCAAAATTTCATTTCAAAGCTTAAACACTTGAATTGTTTTTGAAAGTAGCAGTAATGTTGTTAGAAGGTTCGAGCTTGTTGGCATCGGACTGACATGTACCTTCCAACACTGGAGCGTTACTGACAAATTTAGTCAATTTAAATCATCCATGACTCAAATCACAAATCCGGAACTTAACTACATAGCATTTTGACTTATCTAACTATTAGGTTCGACTACTCAGCCTAAAAAAATGCTTATATAAATTTTCTAGGACTGCATTTGCTGCTGCAAATGCAATTCTTTTATCGAGGCCCAAATTTATCGGCAGCGGAGCGAGGATTTGCCAATTTGTTTATTCCGTGCATCTTGAGTTTGTACCACTATTCGACTTGATCAACAAAGAAGTACACAGCATTTTAAAAAAATCAAATTTGTCTGGGGAACCTGGTATAGGTCAAACTAGCACCCAGCCCAATGAGAGCTGCAAAAAAATTAAGCGATTTGTATTTTGCATCCAATACGTTTTTAATGGCATGGAGGCAGTCTTGATCTAGTATAATTTCTACTTCGGAGTATTTGAAAGCTATCGTATCACAATGTTCAAATTGTTAAGTACAACTGTTGAAGCGCAGTGACTTTTACAACACGCTGCCTATGTGGTGATTTAATCATTCCTTGTTAACTCTAGCAGTGATCCAGACAATAAAAGATGATTGGAGAGTTTTGAAGACAACCATTAATGACAAAAGCTCAACCTGTTTCACAGAGCATTCCATACTACGCACAACGCGATTTTTTGGAAGATAGGAAGCAGCTTAGCCAAGAAACGCAATCCGACTGATAAAAGATATTCATGGATATCTTTCGTTTTTCTCGAAAAAGTGCTTCAATCACTTGCCCGAGGCAGTTCATCTTTGTTTTGAAAATGAGACAAAGAAGCTAATTCAGAGAACATATTTTTTGTCAGGAAAAAAAATTGTAACTGCATTCCGGAACAATACCAGATAAGGTTTCTCCCATTGAGCCTGATTTGTAAAATTTGAATTAGACATATTAGCACCTATGTAGCTTCCTTGCATTAATTTTATGGCACATATTTCTCAGGATTAATTTGTTTCACAGAGAATTGCCTTTTTTTCTCAATTCATTGATTGATTTGGAATATTTGAAGCAGCTTAAACAATGAATGCAATACAACTAAAAAATGATGTTCACACAAACGATTTCTTTAATGAAAACGCATGGCGATATGTAAATTCATGGCAAAGTGCATCCACTTCTACTCTTTTTTAGAATTTTTCGTTTTTAGAGTAAAATTTGCAAAAAAAACCAGTTCTCTCAAATTGATTTCGGGTTTGAAAGCTGCACTAGAAAAGATGCTTTGTCAATTGCATAACCCAAATCCAAATAAAAATCAAAGATGCATGAAACAACTTTCAGACATTGAAGTTTTTTTCTAAAGAGAAACTGTAGAGCGGGGTTGGGTTTCATTTAGATGTGAGTTTCATTTCAAGGAGATATTTGAAATGGTTTTTGTTAGAAATCAAAGATAATTTAAAAACAAAATTTTTTAATGAGTCTTCATGCGCAATGTCAAGTGCTGTTTGAAACGTTTCTCATCTTCCAATAGGTTGTTTGGACAAACTAGTTTGCCTCAATTTAATTCAAAATTTTTGCTTAGCCTGATTAGCCTGCTGTTTACCCTAACAGGCGCGTTAAAAGAAGATTAAGCGGATCAATATTATCAAATCGGTAAACTTATGAAAAAACCCCATAAACTTGTGAAAACAATCACGCAGTATTCGACTGAAGGCATCAATCACTCTCCAAGTAGGATGCTAGTTAAACGGAAAAAGCAAGAATGTTTGAGTTGAATTTTGAGAAAATTGCTTCAATCATCGTTGCAGAGACTGATTCACCTCTGAAAGCATATTTGATTACTGTGAATTAGCATTGATTAAATTTAACAAACGTGTAAGACACCTCAGTTGCTTCGAATTTCGAACAACTCATAAAAAACAGCCTATAATGAAAACAAAATTCTCAGCCTTAAGTGTACTCAAAAAGCACTCAATTACAGGGCTTGTAATTTCAAATTTAAGTTTTTTCTTAATTCAAATTATGAAAACCATAGTTTTGTGAAGTCTTTTAAATATCAGTTTTCCTTAGAAAGTTTTTTTAACTAATTAAAAAATGTCACATCTCGGAAACCTAAAGCAATTGAGCAGTGGAATTTGGAGGCAGGATTTGCCATACCTGAGAGCACTCTTACAGTACCAGATTTATTGCTTGGAATTTCAATTTTTGAAATAAAATTTTCGAAGCTAAATGAAAATAATTTTTTTTTTCCAAAAATAACAAAAACGTCCAGTCTCAAAAACTAGGTCACATCTCGGAAGCTAAGAGCATTTGAGCAGTCGCATTTGGACACAAAATTTGCAAATTGCAGCGCTTGTGAGTAACCTAACATTACCCAACTACAAGATTGGGAATATCAACTTTTTTTCAAAAATTGGGAATATCAAAATTTTCTGAAAAATTAAAAAGAAATCATTCAACACGTCCTATCTCAAAAACCACAAACATTTGTGCAGTCAACTTGGGAGGCAAAACTCGCAATCTTTGAGAATACTCTGACAGCACCCAACTACAGTTTTGTTATTTATTTCAACTTTTTAAAATTATTTGGTAAATGAGTTTTCTGAAAGTTTTTTAGAAAAAATCCCAAAAATCGGTGTAACTCGTACACTAAAAGGATTTGGGCACTCATAATTGGAGGCCATACTCGAAACCCCAAGGGGAAACCTCCTGATAGCATCCCACTTTAGGGCTGCTTATTTTAAACTGGGTGACATAAACACTGAATACTGGATAATCGAAAAAAATTTTCAACCATTGCAATATACGAAATCACTACAACGTGAAAAAGTTCATTTGTTAAATATGCTAAAATTATACGTTGATATAATATATATAATAGATTGATAGATTTGATATTCTTTGTTATTATTCTATTTTCCTTTTCGATATTCCCTTTTCGGTCAGCTTACTCAAAAATTCTCGTGAAGCTCCTTCGGCACCTATATATACTACTTTGTTAGAATGCAAGCCTGAAATACACAATTTCCTTGCTAATGTAGAAGTTTCAATATGTTCAAATTTAAAGCATGAAAATTCGTAATTAAATCGTCAAGTATTTCAACTTATCGGCTCCGAAAGTTTCAAAACGCATTCAGAAAACAAATAAGAACATAATAGTAGAGTTGAGAATTCCCTTTGTTCGTATACTTTTCTGCCTGGCAATTTTTGAACAGATCTATTGCTCTTTTTTTAATTAAACCCATTAACTGATTTTCGGTATTATTTTTTTCTGACTTCTTGCCGTTTATAGGTTAAAAAAGTAAAAATTCATAGGTCACAGTAAAAAATCAAAGTAAAGTCTTCGCAAGGAAGATCGAGTAATTTTCTTGGTTAGGTCCATACTTTTTCAAGTTTATTTTTAGTTTTATTTGGCAGAAATTTATCATCAGTTTCACTTCTCGATCAATGGATACTTGACACCTCTTTATAATTCCAATAATTTACTCCATTATAAAGAAGGATTCCGAGTTTAAGTACATAGTTTAGCAATTTTGAAGTTCACTATTTTTTCTCAATTTCCGTAAGTGACGTAAAATTCATTTACATATAATTTAGGAGGCTGTAACTGAAACTAAGAATAAACAAAGTTATTGCTTAATGTGTATAACTTCATAAATCTAATGGAAATCGTTTCAGAAGAACTACAAAATACAAATATAAATTTTAATCTTTTTTGTCCCCAACTGTTTGACCCAATATAATTTTTTCTAATATGTTGCCTAGAAAAAGTATATACAACTATTGAAAAACTCAATCAAACAAACTGTTGAAAAAGAGTCAATGAACTAAAAAGGACCAAAGACACTGATAAAGTAAGTTTTGAACATTTTTTTTCTTTGAAAAGGAAACTGAAAAAAAAACAGCAAGAAACATCCACACGTCTATTTTGCTATCTAATTGTACTGTACTGCAAAGAAAACGTGCGTGGAATTTTAACTTTTTTTAAAACCTTTTAGTGCATGAACTGCACACGATGGGTATAAAAAAAAACAATCATTTTGGTTCAGCCGAGGAGTATAGTAGCAAACGAAAACTAAACTGACACACGAGAGATTCATAAAACGCAATAGCAGATTGAAGAGACTGCTTTGGAGCTCTTTTTCCTTTTTCATCTCTCGTAAGCATCAATTCTATGGCAAACAGTAAGCAAGCTTGTTCAAAATTCGCAGGTAGGGGGAACGAAAAAGAGCCTGATTTGCTCTCATAATTGGACCTTCCCCCTACCTGTTACTTTTAGTTTACAATCGTTGACAAACAAATTTTCGATTTTCGATTGGTTGAATCTTTTCAAGCATTCGGTCCTTCAAGCATGAGAACCCTCCCCAATTGAAGATGCATGCGGCGTTTAACTTATGCCATCTAATAGAAATGAACTGCAATGGAGCGTAGAAGTCACGTGAGTCCATTTTTGGCTTTTCTCATTCACTTTAAGGTCATGTTCAAAACTTCTCATATATCACTTCCTTTACGCGATGGGTATCCTTAACAAGCGGTTGCAAATAAGGGAGATTTGTGATATTTAAAGATTTATTAATCGCTATCATTCATATTTTTCAATGACAGATCGTTTATAAAAGAACGAACATTATCACACTCGGCTAATAAAGGTTCGTTTTCAGCAGCGAGTTGTTTCATTTCGGATTTCGAAAGTTTTCTTCCATCTCGATTAGTCTTTCCAAGTGAAAACTCTCTGACAACGTTTCTGAAACGAGTTAGCTCTTCAAGTAACGCTCGCTCGCTGGCTGACTGTTCAACTTCTGAGCTCATTTCGATCCCCATTAGGTTCAGGGTAGAGATGAGAAACTGTTTTGCCAAGACCGCATCTGTCATCTGAAGGTTCCTCCCACGTATGCTGTCACAGAAAGACGAAATGACCTCTGAAACGGAAATTGCCTCTTTGGAACCTGGTCTGAATCTAACTTTACATATCCTGGCTCAAATACTACTGGATGTAATTTCTCACATAATTTTCATTTGTACAACTGTATTAATTTTAGGTCAACCGTTTTGCACTCCAAAATAGTCAACCAACATCTTGCACAATGTTTCCATAATTTTGCGTTAAATTGAGAAGTTGGTTAGAATTTTTATATAAAACTGAAAATTGATTAAACTGACCCAAACCAGACGGAAAATCAAAGTCATCGCAAATAGCTCGGCCAAACTTCCATGAACTCTTTTCGATGAAGTCCAGATTTGATTCAACTCCATCGCCACAGCCAGTGCAGCTCTTCATTTGCTGGTCACAGAAATCCAGTGTCTCAGCTACTCGTATTAAAAAGTGACGAGAAAGATTCAAGTCATCTTTACTGTAAGGCAAAGTTGATCGATAACTTCTTCGCAGACATGTCACCCGCAATTCGTCCGATGTTCCGTGACTGTCCAAAAAATCGTCGACTGAGATGAAATTCTGCAATGATTTCGACATCTTCAAGCCCGTTTCACTAAAAAATTTTAAGCTCAGTTGAAACCGAAATTCTTTAACTGATAACTTTGCATTCAAAGGGCAACTTAAAATGGCACTTTCCCAGAAAGCATAGTCACTGCAAACAATTTTTCACCACTGTCACGCTACCCCTTCAAAAAAATATAAGTTCTTTTGCTTCCCACTATAATATGAAATGTTAAATTTCCTCCTTAACATTAAGACCAATTATCCACGGTGGAAAGGACCAACACAAGAGTTGTACAGCTCATCACGGCGAACCGCTGTTGTGCCCCTGTTTAAAAACTACATGAAATTTTTTTGGTGATTTTTCTGGGCTGGGTAATGTTGCTTCACCCTGAAGTACTAACACATGGTTAATTTTTACGTTAGGAATTAAAAGTCAAAATAATGCATTACCTATCGACCATGGCTCCAATGTGCATGAAAACTTTCACCCAACTGTCTGTTTCGTAGAAGGCCTCGCTCTGACATATTTCGTTATTATGATGGGGGAACTTCAGATCAACCCCACCCGAGTGGATAGTCAGGTGGGGCATACCCCCCGAAATGACGTCACAGAAGGAGGAACACTCGATGTGCCAGCCGGGTCTCCCCTCTCCCCAAGGACACGGCCAGGATACTTCGTCTTAACAACAGGAAACGTATTATTCAAAATATAAGAAAACAAAAAACTACGCGGGCTTGAAACCAAAACTCAGTTCAGACGATTAATCCACAAAATGAACAATTGTTGCGCTCCTGCTAAAAATTACATGCAGTTTTGGGTTATTTTCCTGGGCTGGGTCGCCCGAGGCTTTTAGCCCGAGATTTGGGGCGCGTCCAGCATGCTATCCTCGAGTTAAAGAAACGTTGCTCCCTCTATCGACCGGAGCCACAGTTCTATTGGGGTCAGGACAAAAGGGGACAGTTAAAAGGATGCAGCGCAGTGTGGGGTGCTGAACTATGGGGGGGGGGGGGGGGGCAATAAGGGTCTATCCTATCCTATTAAAAAATGTGTTAAGGTAGGGACTGCAGCCGGATCTTAATTGAGGAGCGTGCGTCTTGTTGAGCTGGGACTGTCAAGTCAAGTCCGTTATAGAAACGTATGGCGGTCTTAGGAGGAGAATTTTTGGTGGGGCGCTCCATCAATGGCTTTTTGAACTCTGTGATAATGAATGTACTTTAGAAGCTTTTAAAATTCTGGTTTACAAAAACGTTAAATTGGCTAAAATCGTTTAGAGAGTTCGACTCGTTTGCCCCACTTAAATTATGTCGAGTTCCTCTTTGTAAGAAGCGTCTTTAATGTTTGGGCGTGGTTTTCAGGGGAGTGGGCCAGTTGATAAAAATGCAATGGACGTAATAGACCGTATGTTTTGAGAGTATATTTAGTTTTGGTTTTGAGGCTCATTTTAGCGCCCCCGGTCACATTTCGAAGTCGGCTGCGTAAGCCGTAATCGGTCTTATTAAAGTTCAAAGTAACAATGTCGACAGGTCCCAATTTGTGCCCAACGGTGCCTTCAAAACCGATATCCCATAGCTTTTTTTTTTGCAGATTCTTTACAGTATTCGGAGAAATTTAGTGCTGAGTGGAAAAATACATCAAGCAATTTATAGTGTTTCTGCACTGGCAAAAGCGAGGCTCACATTGTTACTTCAAGGTCAAGGTTGGATTTTTTATTGGGTAAAGTAAATGACTGACTGAACTTCTGGTGAAAAAACAAAGATCTACTTGAGAAAAAATTCATGCAGTTTATTGAGACAGCTACTTAGTCTAGTCGAGGCGTGTTTTAAGGCGCACGCTTGGAGTAAAGGATGGTAGTCATCGACGTGGAAGTCATACTTCTAGTGGATTTGGGTGCATCGTGCACCCAGACATCAAAAACAGTTTGTGAGATGACTGAGCCATGAGAGACGCCTGTACGCACAATACTGGATGTAGACAAGACGTCTCTGCATTCTGTATTGACTTGGCGGTCACTTTGATAGTGTGCTAGTCATCTTGATAATATTTCGGGAACACTGGTGTCATGTAGCAGTTCCAAGAGAGTCTGATGGCAGACCAGGTCATAAACTTTGGAGAGATCCAAAGTGGAAGTACAGTTCTTTCAGGGGGTTGCCGTTAATTAAAAGCATCGCTGATATGAAGATCAATAGTAGATAAAGCAGTAGTTGTTGAGTGTAGCGGTCAAAAATCGTGCTAATGGGCTGCATTTGGGAGGAATTTCGATAGGGTTGGGGATTGAATGTTTCAAAGTTTTTACTGACGGGATTAAAATGGAAACAGGGCGGTACAAGTCTAGACACTCGAACCTTTGCTAAAGTTAGGTAAACGAACGATCTTGGATTTCTTCCAGATTTAAGGAATTTTGTTTAAACTAAGAGATATGTTGAAAAGATGTGTAAGAAAGCTTTTAGTCAGTGGCCCTAGATGATTTATATGCAGAGGTTTTCAGGTTTCAGGGCTCTGGATGGTTTTGCTGCAGTAATGGCTGCCCCAGTTTCACATGGCAAGAATTTCAGTGGCTCATTCAAACTTGGATTTGAAAATCTTGGGTTTGCCGTTGCACCTTGTCCGATTTGTGGACTCTCCGTTAAGTGCGTTGCAAGTGAAACAGGCGCTATTTATCACGCCTTCGAAAGTTTTGTTCTATTTACAGAGAAAGGGAAGGCTTCTGCTACATACGTTGTTCCGTTTATGGAGCGGACCACTTTCCAGAATTTACTGGACTAGCTGTTGTGGCTAAACGTTCACAAAACGTCGTTCCATTTTCCTCTTTCTTTTTTGCAGTTTTTTTTCGATGCGATGAACCTTCTAGTCTGAGTTTGTGTAGCTACTTTGCCAAATTCTTTGTTTCGTCGCTTAAAGCCAGAGTTTACAATTAATGACGACGAACGTGTGTTTAGCCTGGCTGCCTTTAAAATGATGTTTTTGAAAACACGTTCAGCCATGCTTACCACGTTTATGACACCGTTGTTTAAAAGTTTGCTTTCTGTTTTTTGACGAAAAATATTCTCAACTCGCTTTATTAAAATCAATCAACGTTCTTCTTACAGAGAGCGGGATTTGCTCAGGTTAAGGGATATACATTTTAGAGAAATATTATACTGAGATTTGTTAAATGGAAGATGGTGTGAACCCAAAGTTATTTTCAACTTATAGAGTGTAAAAACTGAAAATGACCGGGCAAGAAGCATGAAGTGTTACTGGATGGCAAGCGGGTCTGATTATGGTCATTTAGTGGGTAAAATTTGAGTCCCTGATCTTTGGTGTGAAGATTGGTGTGAAAAAGTTTTGGTTGTTAGCCTATTTTTTGAAAACCTGGGCCTCCAAAATCCCGTCTTCCATGATTTGCATTTCATCGTACATTAGCGATGTATGTGTGACAATAAGGAGGCCACCTACTTCTCTGAGGCCTCCTAAGGAGGGATTACCAAATTTCTCTGTTCGTTTAATTTCTTGGAACACTGAAACGTATATCTTGTATTCGCACAATAATGCTGCTATTTTGAGTGCTTTCCCGGGTATGCCATTAGAGTTAAATTGTAGAAAACTGAGAAATTATGCGGGTGGATTACCCGTTAGAGGTAATCTTTGAGATATGGGGAATGCTTTGGTTCATCAGAATTCTATGGAGGAATGCTTTTATTCGTGGGAATAAGTGTTTGTAACACGTTGCATTGTTCATTTCTCTATTAGGTGTGTTAGATACTGGGGGAGGTAGGATGCGGTTAGTTGAAAAAAATAGGGCAGTAAAATGTCGATGGCGTTGTTTTAAATTTGCGAAACCACTGCATTTCAGGTGGATCTATCCGCATATATGGCACCACACACTAGCTTGAGTGCGTGCAATTTTTGAGTTACAGGGGACAGGTATACGGACCAGGGTTGAGATTGATTTCGGCACGTAAAATTAAGATGAGGATCAAAAGACGGAGCAGCCAAACCAACTTTGCCTGCTCCGAAACCAAAAATTCGGTTTGAGCATGCTTTCTTCACTCCCAAAAAACGGGAGGGTTCGTACTGGTTCTCTTTGCGTCGACTTTTGACGCTGGTCGAGTCCACCGCTCGTCTGGGCTGGATTATGCTGCCTCACCAGCAAGCCATCATCACGAATCATGGTGGGCCTCAAACATCCGACCTTGCGACTGAGAAGCGGAGACGTAAACACTTCAATACCGCTCGAAAAAAGAAAAAAATAAATTTAAAAAAATTGGCTACTCAATCCAAATTCGACTAAAACTTTTCGCGACAACTGGACATTTAAAAAAGTTTTTAGGGTCGTACGAATCATGACTGAAAATGTTGAAGCACTACATATCATTCGACCCATTCCGATGAGTAGGCCTGGTACCGATTTTGCGTGGAAGAAAAGAAAAAACTAAAACACCCGAGATTTTTAATGGTTCGAACAACAAAATCAGCCGGTTGCTGTTCCGAAACAGTTCCCAACTTTGTTGTTGTAAGCTCGGCGGTAGGGAAGAAGCTACTACGCGATTGACCTTGAGTATCCTACAAAACTTTAATTGTTTTCAATAAAGCTAAGCAATTGTACTTTTTATTTCGGTCTCTGGCCACAAGAAAGAGAGTCTGAAAAGAAACAAAAACATAGACCAGTTTATCAACAGTTTTTTGACCAGTTTTTCTTTAAAATTCATTTATTGCAACTAATTTCACGACTGAAAGTAGTTCATTAAGACAATTATTTTGAAAAACACTGGTCAATAGCGCATATGAAACCAGTTTTTATTAACTTGATTCATTAAAAACTAGCAACCTGAAATGCGAGATTTCCACAACGCAAAATCTGCTCTGTTTTTCTTTTCTGGGTGAAATTTTGTCGGACTTCTTTGCATTATCTCCTCCCGTTGCTCACTTTGTTTACTCAGCACAACAGGATCAAATTTTCCCTCTTTAGGAAAGGACTGAGAGTCAAAGAACACGTTTCCACTTGGAGTGACGTAAGCATACTTTTTCTCTATTAGGGACTGAATGAAGTCGATTATTTTTGGTATGTAGTCCGACACTCGCAAAATCACATCTGGCCTCCTGGAAAACAAGATAAAATTGATCAAGTAAGCGGGGTGCGAAAATTTTTAAAAAAATGTTTTGAAAAAAAAAAATAAGAACACATCTCTTTTAAAACTATCCATATGTAACTATGCGGTCGAAAGGAAAATTTAAATCCTTTTCAATTTCAATTCCTGATACAAAATAAGCCTGACTGCGCAAAATACTATTAAAATTACATTTGTATGAAAAAAAAATGTAATCTTCCAATAAAATTCCAGGTACTCTAATTTTTGCTTAATATCTTATTATTCGTATTTGAAATCACTGGTCTGATTGAGAAATAGTCGCAGCATTTAAACAAGACTGTAAATACTGATTTATAGTGTCAGGATATTATGTAAAAAATTCAGTATATTGCATTTTTCATTATGAAGTCAAATCATCACTGAAATTTTCTTAGAATTGGTCAACAAAAAACCATTTTCTCGAATTAAAAAAATCCTGTGTGCGACTCTCATCTGAGTTCTCCCACCTGACATTCAGCTTCTCGAGAGCGTTGAAAAATTGCAACTCGTACTTGGCTGCTACTTCCGTCTCTCTCTTTCCAGAATCTTTTGCCTTTTTTATGATTTTATCATCTACGTCTGTCACGCCCATTGCATAGACTACTGGTTTGGGTTGATACTTCTCTAACACTCTCCGAATGCAGTCCTGTCTGGGTATCGAGCCCTGCTCAATTTAGAGAAAAAAATGTATTTTTTAAATTTCGAAGATTGCTGACTGCTTTGCCAGTAGCGCACAAAGCCTTACAGCAGCTGCTAATTCGGACAATCAATATGGCAATTTTTCATACGTTTTTTTGAGATAATTTTAGCCTATATTTTTGACATGTATTCTTTTTTAAAGACTACATATAGCTTAAATAAATGGCCGGCCGAAAATTTGAATCATTAGGAGCCTTTGCCCAAGTTATGCGAGATATCACGTTTACTTTTAGTAAGGGTCGTGGAAAACATTTTATTTTGATACAGCTTCAGAGAATTTGTTTTTTTTTCAAAACTTTTCATCACAATATGTGCAGATTAGTTTGCACAACTTAGTCTATAGTGAAGTAGCCAGTTGCAGATTTAGAATTTCATGTAGGGAAGTGTGGTGTTTTAAAAAACTAGAACTTGTCATGCTCATTACGTGAGTCAATGTAGTTTTCCATTCTCTTTCTAGGACAAATGGCCCACAGAGGCGAAACAGAGCTTCGCACCACTTGCGACATAAAAATGAATAATTTAGAAAATGTGTAGATGAATCGACAAACCAAACAAAACATCTTGGAACTCAATACTTGCACATCTAGAAGTGCCAGTCGGAATATTAGAAAAAAAGCTGAAGTGGTAACCAGAAGCTATTATAATTTTTTCAAGTTTTCGAATTGATTATTTTCATTTGAATTGACAAAAGTGAGCATGACTGTATGTAGCAACTGGCATGTCCAATGTGGATGTCATCGTACACTGTGGGTCCACAGGTGTACCACGTGATCAAGGGGGCAGGGGGATCGAATGGCTCCACTGTCTGAGTCAGAGAGTTGTATATTCGAATCAAATTTTGGCTTTCGGAACTCCGTCTGAAAAACGTATGAAAAAAATAAATAGCTTTTTCACTATGGTTAAAATAGTTTAAAAGTTATAACTAAGTTATAAAGATTTTAACTATGGATAGTCAACATAATTTTTAGTAGCAGACCTAATCTCTATCACACAATTCAAGCAGTTGAAACGGTTATATTACGTATCGTTTTCCTGATCAATTGGCTTTTGCCTTGTCGTAATTAATAACTATATTTACATTTGATAGATATCAAGCGACTAGGGAAGTGATTTAGACCATCTTGAACATCAGCTCAAGAATGCTAATAATTTGATCAAAGTATACATACCTTTTGTGGATGAAACCTCTGCTGCGATAACTAACTACAAGTCGAACAATTCTCATGACTTCTAAAATGCCGTCTGTTTTCCTTGTCGATGTTCATATTTTAATTAATTTTCAATAGGTACAACGGCAAGTATTAGATACGTGAAATGTTTCAGTTTGATTTACAGGAAACCCAAATTTTGGAAACCCATTAGTTTATTAGGGTAATACTTTAAGCGAATTTTCTCCAATCGATTTTTTTTTCAAATGACAACAGCGGATACTTCCAATAATGACTAGTCACATATTTCCAAAAATAAGTAGTCTTTGCTATCTGAGTCGGATCAAACAAAGTCGTATGTATCAAACAAATTCGTATCAAACAAAGTAGGCAGTAAAATACACAAAAAAGTAGTTCAAACAACCATTTAATTGTTAAAATAAATGACATTAAAAGGAAGAAGTTTGTTGATAACGAGGAGGAAGTTTGCTTTCGGGTGTGTTTAGTTTCACGAAAGTTAGGTTCACATAAAAATTAGATGGGGTCGAATGATAAATCATATAAAACCTTTTCAACAGTTTTCAATCGTCATTTAAATTTCTAAACTGCGTTTTATCAACACTGAGAACATTTACTGAATCCCGAATGAATATTCGGGATCCAGTAAATGTTTTCAGTGTTGAGAAGACCCAGTTTTGATTTTTAGTTGTAATCCAGGTCATCAAGTAGGGCAGAGCACTTAATTAGGCTATAAACTTTATTTTGAGCTGTAAAAAAACTAGTAAAATTGAAACACGTATCGACTTTTCGTTCCAAACATCGAAAATGGGAACTTGTAATCGTGCATTTTATTTTTGTTCCTCATAGTTTCGAACGACATTAAAACTTTTTTCAAAAAGTTATCCTGGCGTCGAGAGAAACTGAACTAAAATTTGAGTTTCAGTTAAATTTCGAGCGTGCAAAGCGATCCAGCAATGTTCCTTAGCTATATGAATATTGAACTTTTTTAGGTTTTTAGGCTGAGAAACCCTGATTTTACTAAAAAGAAACCTAGTTTTGGCAGTTTCATTTAGCGCTTCCACGGCGATAATTTTCTAATAAAAAAATTTAAAATCATTGCCCTACTTAAATTTTTTATTTCTTTTTGCTTTTCATTCATTTTTTTAAGACAAATTTTGACAATTAGACCTAGTTCATTTACTTTTAACGCGTTTGTATAGTCCTCTAATCACACCACGTACTAAAAACGACACTAATTTGAAGACAAAACATTCTGTGATCGGAATATTAGGTATTACTAGCAGAGCAACTGGCTATCCTGGTTTAAAATTGTTCTAGATTTAGTTATTATGATAATAGACAAATAAACACAAATTTAAGTTTTGTGCTATTTTGTTACTCTCCCCACTCACTCATATAAAAAAAATTTTTTTTCTTCTAATATTACTAGTCGGAGACTTCTCTGCTACTGGCACTTGTAAAATCGTACGATAAGTCGCGCACGACAACTCGGTGATACACTCCATAATAATTCCGCAACATTCGGAGGTCGCTAAGCCAAGATGGGTGAGTTGCATCATAACTATTGTTCCGATCATTTGAAGCATGGGGAGGATCTTTCTATTCAGGTGTTTTTTTTTGTATTCTATGCAAAATCAGGTACCACAAATAATAATCGGAATGGGTCGAGTAATGCATTATATTAAGGTCACATCAGTCGTGACTCGGACATTAGAAAGTTTTCAAAAGTTGTGCTAGTATCGAGAAAAAGATTTCAAATTTTTGATTTTAAGGCTTAATAAGAACAAAGAAAGCGAGCGAGCAGGCTTAAAACAGCAAAATAGCTTACAATAGCTTAAATTAAGCCCCGTGAAAAATTAGTTTTTTAGCGCCTTTTTGGAATACTAAACTTCAAAAATTCAAAAAGAAACTGCAAAAAAAACTGCAAGTTTTTTGTTTTTCTAGCCATTTTCTACAAAAATCTGTCCAATTTTTTAATTTACTATGACTGTCCATTGTTTTCGATCCAATTTATTTCGTTCAGATCCTTTTATCACATCGCGCAAAAAAATCAACACTAATTAGTTTTTTTTAAACAGGCCAAGCGGCGCTTCGCATCACTTGGTATACAAACAATGTATGCATATGATTACCAGCGAATGAAAAGACAAATCAAAAATTGAAAAAACCTTTGGAAAAAAAACGTTTTTTTTTTTGTCAAAAAAGTTATTGAAATTGCAAAAAAGAACAAAATACATGAAACAAAATTAACCTGCACAATTAGAAACTTGAGAAAGATCTTTCAAAACGCTGAAAAGACACCGAACCTTCCTGTGGGAACTTAGTTAGCAGACATAAATTAGCAGACACGAAATTCGAAAATATTTGAAAGTTTCCAATTTCGACAAAAAACAGGTGCTAACTTAAATAGCTTTTCTTGGATTTGCTGTCTCAAACATGGGTGTCACCACTGCACTAAATGCACAAAATACACCAAAGAATTCAAAGAAATTCACTTAATTTAAAACAAAACAACTTCCAAAAAATTTCAATGGAAAGCATGAAAAAGAATAAAATATCATAAAGTAGGCAGAACTTCTTGGTACTCAATTACTTTTCCAAAACCACAATAAACTTTAAAAAAATTTAATTTGTGTTAAAAATGCCTAAATTCTAGGCTAATTTGGTGCTGCAGCAACTAAGCCGACAAAAAAGCAGACACAGAAAACCGACAAAGAGTTTTTGACGCGTGGACAAGTTCCGCTTACAAAAAAAAGGTTCTGGCCGGATTCGAACCACTGACCTTTGACTTTATAGACAGGAGCGTTATCTCTTCGCCACATGCTCGAGTTAACGTCTGCCAAAAGTAAAATGATTCAAGTGATCATGTTAAACTAGTTGTTAACCCGAAAAAGTCTATAATCCGGTTCGATAACGCTAGCTAATCGTAAGTGTAAGACTATGCTCGGAACATTCTGTGCTACTTGCATAGTAACTGTCTATTCTTGTTTCCATTCATTCTTTTTGTACGAAAAGCTTGTTTTGAGATTTTTGGATTAAGTTTGCATCCAAGACCACAAAAAATACTGAAATTATTTTTTTTTGAATACCAGGCCCATTAGTCAACAAAAATTGCATTAACCAAAGAGCAAAAAGGTTCACATAATTCGTGATACGGGTCGATCTATAATTATTGCGGGGATATGCTAAAGACCAAATGGATTTTCCGAGCTCTCACAAATCTCATGAGTCTTAGACTACAAAACTACCACTTCGAGCAATCCCATAATCAGCGCCTGAAAAAGACAACTTTTTCAACAATTTATGAGCCAATTATTTAGGTAAAATAGCAAAAAAAAACTTTCGTGATTGGATATTTTTTTGGAAAGATCTGACTGCAAAATTGGGTTTGCTAGAAGATGAAAAGAAAATCATCAAAAAAAAACTTTTTCAGTATACGTATGTCTGTACGCTGTTTTTTTAGAGAGTTTCTAAACTCTACTGTCCTAACTTAACTCATTGGAAAAATATGCTAGGAGATTAAATTAAACACAAATCGTGTATTTGTACCTGTTAGTCAAATTTGCAGCGAGATATCTTACATTTTACAAAATCTACTGCAGTACATCAACTAAATCAAAAGTCTGAAAATTCTATAGATGTGAAATCATCTAGAAAATCTGCTGTCTGGGTTCCCTCGCTTAGAGTTACATTTTGGTAGGACTGAGATTCGAACCAGTTTCCATCGATCCCATTCGGACTCTGAAAACTAGACGGAAACTCTGCCCAGCATGTTTGGGTTCCAGCTGCGACCTCATCAAAAAAGTCTCTTCCGTAAGTGGGAGAAAAATTGCTCACGTTTGAAGACAAAGACGCCTCCCGATACTGAGGCGAGACGAACTCCTGCGAGAACGACGTTTCACTCCGCACGTCGCAATTGGCAAAGAACTCGGATATGTCAAAAGGAAGCGTTTGGGTTTCGGTCTGAATAAACGAACATTGAGCTTGTTTTCCAGCATTCTGTTCAGTATCAAAAATATAATTTGGTGCATCCGCAGTTCCACTGAGGTCTGCAAAACTCGAGGTAGTGGAAGGAAAACTGGTCTGCATGTCAACATTGCACGACGATATGGCTTTCTTAAAGCTAGGAGTTGTTTGAGATTCTGCCTCAACTGCTGTTTGACTATGTAATCGTCTTTTGCGCTTTTTCGGTATATCAGTCTGAACAGAAATTGAACTCAAATCTTTTTTGCTTTTATTACCTTCTACTGTTTGCACGCTTGAACACTTTTTGGTGCTTCTCTGAGGTACATTTCTTTTTCCGCGAGGGTTGATTGAGAAACTAGTTTGAATTCCAGTCGCATGTAAAGAGGTATCCGCAGCTGGATTCGACAAGTTGTAGAGATTGGAAGAACACTTTTCAGAACTTTGTCGCATTAGAGACGCAGTAAATGGAATTGTTTGGGTTCCTTGTCCAAATGGCGAATAAGCAAAACTACCATCTGTCTGGGTTTCGCCAAAATTTACATAATAGGTTGAATGTTGCGGTGAACTGTTGGAACAAGTCGCAGCATTAACATGATTTAAGTTTCCTTCAAGAACGACTGTCGAACTATTCAGCTCATGTACACTGTTATTGCAACCATTGCTAGCATTATTAACGTAATTGGATTTCAACTTGGAAGTTTCAATGAGGTTGAACTCTCTCGGTTCTGAAATCGGTGAGCATGAAACATCACAACCTTCCGTACATTCGGACTCGAAGCTCAAATCATTCGAATCTGGGACCTTACGTGGGTAGTTTTCAAAAAAATTTTGTTCCGAACTTGACGATTGAACAACAGATGCATTCTGATTTAAACTATAATGTGATGATGTTGTTTTTGCAGCCCGGTTATCTTCGTCTTGTCTTTTCTCACTGCTTTGATCACTTTTCCGCACTATCTTCATCGCTGTACTTGTCTGTGACCTAAAAAAAATATCTTTGATATTTTGTTTATTTCACGTAACTGGGAAATTTTGGCCATCCTTAAGACATACTGATTGTCTTTCTCAAAAGACGCTCTGAACAGGTGATTTTACAAAATAAACTTAAAAGTAAAAAAGATGAATGCAAATTTTACATCGAATTCGATCGAAATTTTTTCTTACCTTTCGAGCACGGTATGGCCTCTTCTTTTTGCATGAGTCACTAAAGCCTGTCTAGCAGCATATGATGCACCACATTCGCAAAAGTGAAGGGTTCCACAAGACTTTAAGTGCCTAAATAAACCATGATTAAATCATGATGTGGATCTCAATTAATTTGGGTTCGAAACAATCATACAATTGAAAAAGAAAAAGGGCCGAAATCGTTTCGTTTGGGCTGGGTTAATAAACCCTTACTTTCAAAGATCATGTACAGATTAAGGTAGACCTCAAATCAAATTTCTCTCCATTGTGAGAGCCTCAGGTGTAAGTTACTTAGCCACCATTTCTAGATTGGATTCTTTTTAAAAACTGAAAATCATTTTCAGGCATCATTTACTCCCCGTTGTTGTATCATAAGCAGCGAACCAAGAAAATACTAACTTTTTTAAATCATGATCGACTGCAAACTTGACGCTGCAAGATTCACATTGATATTTGCGCTCCATGTGCTGCCTTCTGTAATGCTAAAAAAAAATTTATCGATTCAACTTGCATACAATCTTGCACTTCGCAAACACAGGGCTTTCAAAAACGAAAGTTCCCGACTACGGATTCCCCACACGGTGTTAAAGTTAAGTGGTATATTTCTCGTCTAGTAATGCATTGATAAAACCATGAAGTAGGGAACAAAACTGCTCGTATATCAAGGCAATAATTGTTGGTAAAAAATAGTTAAAACCATATTTGGACTTATCAAACATAATAATAAACTGTTTCCAAAACATATCTAACATTTCATAACTTTTTATATATTCCTTTTCAAAATGCAGATCATTTTGGTAGATCGCTATTAAACATCAAGAGTGAAAATTGGAGAAGTAAGAAATCAATACGACCGAATAGCTTCCATCCATTCAATTTGCAACAATTTTGAAGTGCGGGCTAATTCAGCACTTATAAATAAATCTCTTTACGCTTTTACCTTCATAAATAAAATCTTCACAGCGCACATGAATTTGTCTAACGCATGGCAAAATTTGCAATTTTCAAACCCCAATTTTTAATAATTTTCAAATAATTAAAAACAAAATATCATTATAAATTAGAGCTCAGCGAGTCGATATCCTCAGTGGAGTATAAAAATCTGTGGTAAAAACTATTATTTGGACAGCCAAAATTTGACTAAAGAAACAAACCACCACAAGCATAAATATTCCGCATTTCTTCGGAAGTCGGAACAATTATTTTTGAGTGAGATAAATTTTCCGCTTACGGGCTAGTGTAACTAAATATTTCACGCCTTGATTGTCCTGACAATTTTTTTGAAACCCATAACTTGATAATCGGCTAATGAGTTAAAAGGCCATAAAACGTTAAAAAGTCAGAAAAAAATGACACCGAGACAAAGCTGAGCTCTGCACGACTTGCGATACAAAAATTAATGATTATGATTAAAATCAAATAAAAAGAAAAATATTGAAAAAATTATTTATTGAAAATAAATGGTTTTTGTCAAAATTTTTTAAAACAAAATTGCAGTGAAAGCCAAAAAACCAAAAAAAATTACCTGTATCATAAAAAATTTTACAAAGAGCTTCCGGAATGCTAGAAAGAAGACAAATTTCCAAAAAACTCTTCCTGTAGAACTAAGCCGACAAGCATAAGCAGATAGACAATCAACTGTGCAGCTTGGGTTGGAAAAAGTGAACTCGCAGTAAGGTAAGCGTTTGCTTGAATGAATAAAAACAAATGACTAACCAATTTTAAAAAGCTTTTTCTCGTGAAGTAGTTCTTCGATGTCTGATTTCGACTGCAATTAGCAACTGGACAGAAGAAAACTTGTCGGCGATCTTTCTTCATCAAATCATTCTCGAAGTTGAAGCCAAATTGACCAATTATAGAATCCTGGAAGTTGTACAAGTTTAGTGTAGCTTTCACAACCAACTGAGCTAATGAAAATAGCTTCATTGCAATGATTGCAAGCGATGTGATACAAACACTTTTCCAAAAAATTTGTATCTAAGAACTATTAACTTTCATTAGTAAATATTACCAACGATTGCCAAAAAATTAATTTCGATGTTCCTCGCGTTAGTAGAAACTTTGCTAAATGAAAACATTGATGCAAACTACTTCTGCTGCATACTTCATTTTTTTTTGAAAAGACTACTAACCGAAATAAGTTCAGATCCACATTTTGCGTGTACTTTGCTAACATGCATCTGTAAAGCACCAGAATTGACAAGTACTTTGTCGCAACCTTCAAATGGACACTTAATGTCCACGACAGTATTAGTGGCCAGCTCTTCTACTGTTGGCACCACTATAATCGGCATCGATTCGGTTGTTTTCTTTTTCAGTTGCCCGCAATTCCTGTTTGTGTCTTGTGTATCTGTAGAAGTTGATTGGTCTGGGCTAACAGCGACTTTTAACGTATCTTGAGCGATTGAGCGACAACTAAGCAAGGCTTCAAAGAGTTTTCCGACCATACTGCTGGGAATTATAATGTCTCCATTGGGCGAGACTTTGACGCCCGACTCTTCCGCCATGGTATCCAATATAACCAGATTCTATGCCATACGCTTCTGAAATAATTTCATTTTTTTTCAGAGATACTTGATGAAATTTGTGATTATGTATTTGTGTTGTTGAACGCGACTTGAGAAAACTTTCATTTCGAAAACTTAAATTCAATTTAACCTTAAAAACATCGTCATTCACTTGGTCGCTATCTCCAGTAATTGCTAATTAAACTCATGTTTCCGTACCAGAATAACTTCGAAACAAAATTCCACTCAAGCATGAAATCAAAAAAGACAAACATCAATGCAAAATTCAGCAGCAAGCTTAAAACTGTTATCATTATAACAAATTTAAGCAATTTTTGATAACTTTTACAATTATTACAATCGATAGAAACTTTACCGTCTCCATTTGATGAAGAATGATCGTTTGCCTCTGAGACTAGACTAGATTTGCTTAGCGATTCTGAATGCTCTTTCCTCATAGTTGGTGTTACGGGCATACAAGGCAAGCAATCCGATTTGGATTGCGTTAAATCTAAAGAGTTTGAAATTTTTAGACGAGATGATGAAAACACAGGTGGTTGCGTAGAATTTTCAGCTTTTGTCAATTTTCTATTTGCAGCTCCAAAAATCGATTTTGATAGAGTTGATATCTTTGCTGGCTGACTGAATTCAAATCTAAACGTTCAGATAACTCTTCAAAACAGTAATTGCAACCCAGCTTCTTCAAACACCACATACCCAATAGATTATATAAAAGATCCAATGTTTTATGCTGTCGAATAAAACATTGGATCCGCTTAAAATTGAGTTCTGCTAAAAAATTGCAAGTTTACAAAGAGTCAAACTAAATAAACGAAAAGTTGCTTTAAAAAGGACACCCCTTAACAAATGAAAACACAATTCAATCATGTTCAAATAGAAATGATGAATTTGGTTCAAGTAGACTAGCACACAGCCTAAATAATTCCACAACAATATTCTTGCACTGACCTAGCTGGCGCAAGTACGCAACCCTTGTTTATCCTTTTTTCACTTCTGCTATTAATTTCTCGGTCATAATTTCCGTTTTTGTCCAGTGATAGCCCATCGTTGAATCCAAATAAAAACTCGTTCCTGTTGACTGTGTTTCTTCTTTCACCGTAGGACTCAGTACCAAGACTCAAATTGGACAACAGGTCATCGTCATAATTGATAGCCTGATTTGCGGAATCGCCAAAACTTGAAAATTCCATGGGCTCTTCTTTAACTCTAACATAAGCATTATGGATCTGCACGCCATAGTTTTCCTTTCCACAATCAGAGCGATAGTTCGCAGTCTCAAACTTTCGACTTCTCAGCGAAAACATTAAATTCTTCTACTAATGTATTGCTAAGAAAAAACAAACATTCATGTTTTCGTTTTCATATGATTTAGTTCATAAGCTGCTGTTCTTCATAAAACTGAAAAAAAAATCTGGAAATATGACACTCAAAAACATGCATTCCATAAGATAAAGAAAAAATGTTTTCGAACTTTTAAATGCAAAAATGAAGCAGTTTACATCAAATATATAAATATGACACGTATTTTCAGACATTCGCAGTGTAATCATTGTAAAATATCTAGTCTTTGAAATTATGAACATCATAAAGAAGATTTATATCAATTTATTTAATTCAAATAATCTAAAAATAAGTTGCGATTGTGTGTGGTGCTACGATCCATCTAACCCATGCTCAATTATTACTTCAATTGATTCAGCAGCACTAGTTTTCAAAATAGGAATAGCGCGGTTTGGAGTACAGGTGTAAAACTCAAATTTCGATGAAAAGTCAGAAGTTGATTGCGAAAAGACAACGTTTTCTGGTTTCGAGGCAATTGGAATCGTGTAGCAAAAGCAGGTCCAAATTCACCGACTAAATTCTAGAAACTAACTAACTTTTTCGAATCATTAATATGGTCATCATGATGATTATTTTAACTAATAGATTATGCAAGTTATTTTAAAAATATATTTTACATGGACCAATTTTGTTACACAGAGCCTATATCTCAGGCCAAATCGTCTTCGTCAAAATCTTCCGGAGGTGGTCCAGCAGTGACTTCAGACTCTTCAAAACCCCCGCCAACATTTGACGCTTGATTAGTCGATGCTGGCAAAGTTCGTTTAATCTTCAAAAGTAAAGACGTTAACCATTCGTCCATACGTGAAACTTTGTCGTAATCTTTAACATGCAGTGTGAATTCATCTGTGTTTTCGTTTTGCACATCCGAAATTAAACTCAGACATAATTTGTACTCTCTTGAATCTTTAAACGCAGGATGAATGTCTCCATACTTTTCCACACATTGCTGGGCTCTAACGTGATCTATTGCCAATGCACACAAGGTGGCTTTGAAAAAGTGGTCCTTGGCTCCGTATTTTAACAATGAATTATCCACACATTTGGCTCCGATTTCCGAGAACAGTTCGATTGCCTTCTCAAATTGGTCCAGCTTGGCCGCAATGTGCGCCACTTTCAGGAAGCATTTGTTAGCGGCTGACGTTGACTCCTCCCCTCTGTAGAACTCACCCGCTTGACTGTACATTTGTAGTGCTTTTTCAACATCAATGACCTTGAAAAATAAAATTACAAATCAAAAAACGAAAATTTTGAAGAAAGTAACAAAACTTTTAAATGTAGCCATAATGTTTGCGCCTGATGCGTGAAAATGAGCGAATTACATTGCATTATCGGAATGCTTTTGATATGAAACTTAAAAGTGTGGCGCTCCGGTAGTGATGGTGTCCAGAAATCATATGATTACTGGTTCAATTCCCACGTGCACTGCAATTTGCAAGGTGAGTTCTTGCAAGTAACTCGTAGTTTAATGAGTTTTGGTTATATGCGCTCTTGTTAATCTAGATAATTATTTTTCGAGTTAGGCCTCCGGGTTGTTTCTTGTTTGATTTAAAAAAAATTTAAGAAATATGACCTTGAATTTTTCAATTTTACACCCACCTTCATTCTTCCGACCACTTCACGCTGTAAGGGAACTAACTTCGCCTTGGGTTGTTTCTTCTTTCCGCTTTTAATTATCACAAGGAAAGTTCGCAGGGGTCAAGTGTGGCATATCTTATTAAACGAACTTATTTACAAGAAATTTCCAATTTCTTTACTTAGAAGACGGTGATCGGAACATTCCGTGCTACTTGTACAGCAACCGGCTATCATTGTCTGATTTTTAACATATAGTATTCGATGTATTTGCCCAGCCAGATAGCTTTGTTTTAGAAAAAATAGGGAAACAAATTTTGGTTGGGGCAAAAACGAGAACTTTCAAATCTCTCGTGATAAAACGAATGACATCATGAGCTACCTTTGTCTCGTATATTTCCGCAGCAGTGGTAAGGTGTTTGGCTGCGATTGAGAACCTGCCCATGTCAACGTATATCTCCACAGCCCTCCTGTAACACTCGATGGCCTGTTCGTAATCTATCTTCAGATAACACAAAGCTGCGTCAACGTAATTAGTGGCCGCTTCGTGTCTGTGCTCGCCGTTCGATTTCAGTTTAGCGCTAGAGCAGAAAGCGTTGCCTGCCTTCTCCCATTTCTGGGCTACTTTGAAACAGTTGCCAGCCTTCACGTAGAACTCACAAGCTTGTTCTGGGCCGTCATTGCCGCCATTCATCCATTTGCTAAGAAATCCTAAAAAATGAAATGTTTTGTATACCATTTATGAAAAAAAAACAAGAAACAAGAGTAATCGGTTGCTGTACAGAACAACATTCAAGAAAAAAAACATATACAATCTCAAATTTGTGTTCCTTTTTTACGTGGTGTGAGAAGAAGAACCAGACAAAACTGTACAATTAGTAAATCAGGCATCATATAGTAGTTGCATTCGAAAAATGAATATCAAAGTTTAAAACATAGCCAACTGACAGTTGGAAAAGAGTAATGAACGCAAGGAAACCGAAAAAGAATCTGACTTGATTTTTCAAAAATCTTCAACTTTTGAATTTCGAATAAAAAAATTAGATGGCCTGAAAGCTCTTTGAATTTGTAGAATACATTTTCAAATTACATTTTCTAATTTTATTAATTACATTTTCGATTACATTTTCAAATTATAAATAGAAAAATTTATTGAACCCGTAGTTGCTGTTCACTACCGAAAGGGCTTAATATGTTATATTACTCGACCAATTCTGATGATATTTTATCGTACCTGACTTTACCTTTAAAAAACTAAAACAAACCCACAGAAAAATTTCCTCCCACTTTTAGAGGTCGGAACAACAAAAAATGTTTTGACGCAGCTGCGAAATGCAGCTTCGCACCACTTGCGATACATAACTTTTTGCCAGTGTTCACGCGGTAAAAAATTACTGTGTTTCATATTGTAGTATTTCAAAAGTGGGCAAAAACTCGAATAAGGCGAATGAATAATCTAGTGAGCAAATCAAGAAGTTGCCTCGTAATGTAACACAAATTCCGTTTTTTTTAGCCAAAATACTTTATAATCTTACCTTTTCCGCGGTTGAGTTTTTTGGCCGCCTCCTCCAGGTGTCTGTCTCCGGCCGCATCTTGGTCGGCCATATCAGATCTGAAATTAAACATTAAGTTCACTCATGACATCTGCCGATTAAACACGGATCATCTCAAATAAGCTCTCTCATATACGCTAGAGTAATTGTCTTGCAGACCAGTCTTACAATAACTATATCAGCTTATTACTGAGAATAAGCAAAAAAAAGATAGGCAATGTTTTTGTTGAAAAGAATTCCTAAATTGGGAAGAAACAAGGTCTTGCCTAGGGTTGATTTTCATAATTGAGCTCAAGATAACGAGTGCTGTATAATCTTGTTTTGATTTGGATTCTCATAAAAATGGGTTGTTATAGGAGTGAATAAAAAAATGGATTATTTGGAATAAGATGAGAAGATTTTAAATCACCGTCTGATTACCTCCTGAAATTATCTACCCGATCAAGTTAAGATCCTCCACCCCAGCGTTCAATTTAAATAACATTTGCTAAGCGCAGCGTGTAAAATTCTCTATTCTGATTGGCTGAAAATACGAACTCAGAACCAAGTTAACATCATCCCCTTCACGGCGTTGGTGGGATAATGTTAACTTGTTCCTATCTACCTCCTGATTTCTCACCATTGCACCAGCGCGCCTGTTACTTTTTCCTCAAACAAATTGAAAATACGCAACACAGAGTAATTGGCATCTTTAATAAGCATCCAAACATTAGAGAAATTTTAACCACACTAATTCAGCCGCAATATTAGTTGAGACTGACAATCTACGCTGACCTATATATCGAAGTTTAACAAAATCCCCAAAAATTGACCTATTCGCAGCTGAAGTTAATAACTTTTCCACACCCCACCTATTAAATTTTCATTATTAAGGGCAGCTATGCATTGAAAAAAATCGCTTAAGATTTCACAATTCACTCGGCTAAGCTAGGATGTGATGATCAGTTGCGAAATTCCGAACAGACAAATTTTTTCATTTTGTACTTTGTTTAAATCATACAAGCAAAAGCCACTTTTTCAGGTAAAAAGGTGTTTGCAACATCAAAACTGCAGGCAAATTTTGTTTTCAGTCGACGAAAAGCTCTCAATAATACGATTTTTCACAACTAATTTTAATCAGAGCCGATATGATCATTTTTGCCGTCATTTGCGTTCTACCATAAAGTTTTGGTTGTTGTTGTGAAAACTGGTCAAAGGGCAGCACCTGTTGTTCCGAACAATGACAATGGGGATGAACTTAGTATTCGGGTGTTTGTTTTTTCCGCGCAAAATCAGGTACCACAAAAATCATCGAATGAAACGAGTGTTAGATCATATTAAAGCCCTTTCAGTATTCTTAAAATGTTGTCTCAGTGTCGAGAAAAACCGGTTAGAAATTTTGAGTTTGTCAAAATTCGAGCAAGTAAAGCGACCGAGTAACTTCGTTATAAGCAAATTGCTCATTTAGTCTAAGCAAACTTGATTTTACTCAAGCAATCAAAACTAGTTTTGGAAGCTTCATTCAGCGCTTCTATGCCAATAAGCGTTTTGTGAAAATCAAAAAAGTTGTCCAAAAATTTAGTAAAATAATGTTCGAAAATTTTAAGTTTTTTGCAATTCATTTTTTGTTTCGACGCAATGGTTTTGTTCTCTCATCACACCATCCACAAAAAACGACACTAATTTAAAGAAAACAACCGTTCGTAGTTTTTTTAAATGTGGACCGAACTTTCTGTGCTACTTGCACAGCAACGGTCAACACTTGTGGTTTTTCGAATGGCGGTTTTTCATCCATTTAGACCAACTTGGGCTAAAAAGAAATTTTGTAATAAACAAGTCATACGCAAATGAAGATACGTCTGCTTGAGTTGAAACTGAACGATATTTTACCTGTTGTTGACGTTTTTGATACAAAGTCGAAGCTACCTTGTCAGAAACCCTTTAAGCCAAAAAAAATCAACAGGATTCTGAAATCTGAAAAAGTTAGAGTCCACCTCACCCTCAAAACGCACGAACTTTATTTGCTCTTCAAAGGAAACAATATGAGGCTACTAAGCCGATATAATGTAGGCCAAAACCTATTAAGCCTGAAAAAAAAACACAGCCAAGATAAGAAAAGAGTAATGAACGCAAGTAAACATTTAAAAAAAACAAGACTTTACTGAAAAAATCTCAACTTTCGAATTTCAAAGAAAAAAATAGATGCCCTTTAAGCTCTTTGAATTTCTAGAACAATTTTTGATTGGCGCTTTTCTGATAACATGACCCCAACTAGAGAAAACTGGATCAATAGGTAAAGTTTTTAATTCCGCTGGAAATCTAAAAATTAAATTTCACTTTCGAAACTAGAAATCGTTCTAGTTTTTTCGCGCCATTTCCACGTTCGTATTTGGAGAGTGCTATCTACCTCACTTTCAGCAGATGAGTTTCAATTGAACTCAAAAAGTGCATATAAACCTGAGTGCATTCAGAAATGTATCAAAATATATGAATGCACATCTGTAGTATTGGAGACCTTTCCTGAAAAAAAAATCAGCAAGACTTATATAAGATGCTTCACTACGTTCATTACTCTTAATAAAAATTTTAAAAAAGCCAAAAAAAACTTAAGACTGATGAGACGTTATTAAGCCCCCCTTAACCTCAAAACACAGACACGCACACACGAAACTTTTCGCCAGTCGAAAGATGTAATATAAGGCCAATAAGCTAAAATAATACAGGCCGAAACCAATCAAACCGTAAAAAAAAGGAAAAACAAAAAAGCCGAATTTTTTTTTGTTATCATGGAAAACTTCAACTATAACTCTATTAAGAGTTTTATCATTTTGTGCTATCCAGAGGTGCGCATTAAAAATATATGTTTGGATTGAAACGACTCGAAAAAAGATCACTAAGCCGATAACAAATAGGCCAAAATTCTTTTGTGCAGAATAAAGTTTCAAAACGAAAAAAAAATACACGAAGTCAAGTTTTGTAAAAAGCATACAGAAGAAAGAGGTAAATCAAAACACTAAAAGCAACTATAATGTAAAAAACAATTCTACAATCTGGCAACTTAGCCGACAAAACATAAGCAGACATTAATAAGCCAACAATTTTTTACGGACTATTTCCAGTTTAAAAAAAAACAGGTCCTGTCAGATTCGAAACCAGGACCTTTGGCGTCCCAGGCGTATTCTTCACCTCCAAAACTAAGTGTGCCGGATATACTTAGAACATTGAATGCTAAATATGGACCAAGATACCAATTGATTCTGTTAAACAAGTTGCTAACCCGAAAAATGTCTAGATTCCGATTTTATAACGCTTGCTAATAGCAAGCGTAAAAACATTTGCTGAGTTGGGGATAAATCACTGGATCTTCGTGTTCTCGGCGACGGCGCACACATCACTATATTAAAATGACTGTACAATCGCTCTGCAAAGAATCTATCCAAACTGCTCGTTTAAAACTTTGATAATAAAGGTTCAACGCCAATTAAAGCAAAAAACTAACAGCCAAAAATGAAACCCATATAATTTTATGATAGCTGATAGAATGTTCAATGACTTTTCACATTAGAGCCCAGGGCGTCGATATATTGACTGGAATATAAAAATGTCCTTCAACGACTATTTTTTAGGGATTATTCACTGTCAGCACTATTACTTCGAGTTAGCTTCTGATTTATGCTAACTCATCTGTCAAGCTATTCAAATAATTTCGAGCAGCAATATATACTTCGCACCTAGTTCGTTTATAAATCTGTAATGTTCAAAATGAAATTTGCCGCTATTCGGTATCGAAAAAAAACACTCATTTTGGTTAACTAACTCAACGGTTCGAAAAAAACCTGATTTTTAAATCTTATTCACACAACAATTGTTTTCGAAAACAATTAAACAATGAAGCCAAATAAGTCTTGTCATTTCTTGAATTTTTTCTTCGTCACTTTGCCGCCTCCACCTCCGCCGCCTGAGGCCAGTTTGGTCTTCTTTTTCACCTTGAAGTTGCCAACTACTGCTTCACTGTCTCCCTCGTCGTCACTATTCTCTCCTCTCGCACCCCTACTCCCCTTGCCGCCCTTTTTCTCGTCCAGCTCTTTCATTTGTCGCTTGGCCATTACCTGAAAAAAGTCAATCGATCACAATAATAACACAAGTAATCGGTCTGTCTAAGCTCAGAACCTTCCGAAACGCAAACAAAACAAGATAAGCAAAATAAAAACAAAACTTTTTTTGATTCGATAAATTACATGTCATGGAGAAAATTTTCAAATTCATTTTTACTGTTCATACTGTTTTTTGATAGTTTTTCTTTTTAATTAAAAAAAATGAAGATCAGGTCGGCGGGCATCGAGGACCTAAAATTCGGACGCAGGATAGCATGTTTTAGTGTGTTTCAAAACAAACTAACAAACTAAAAAAAGGAGTGATACTACAGATAGTACTGTCAAATCATCACAAATTTCACATTCGAGTGTACACTTGTAACGATACTAGACCAAGTTTCTACTAGTATCAGGCATGTGCGAATGTCAACACTATTCAGACCCGTTCCAAATCAACCCCAGGCAGAGACTAACCTGTGCTTCAGATACCCTCTCCATAAACTGCATGGCCGCCTGTTCGTCCACTCCAGGGTACAACTGCAGCTTCTGATGGATGACGTCATGTTCTAGCCGAAGGTACAGTTCCACGTCGTATTGTGTAACCACTGTTATCGCCTTACCCGCCCTGCCTGCTCGCGCAGTTCGACCCACGCGGTGGATGTAATCCTGGACACATGAACAAACAAGGGTTTGAATAGCTTAATTCAAGTTAAAAATGAAAATTTTAGTCTGACTTACCCATGAAAATCTCAGGAGCACGAAGTGCATAAACGCACTTAAGTAATTCTTTTCATTGTGATTTTTTCTGATCAGTTATGAAATCAGCAAAACCGAAGGACCAATATAACATCTTTGAACTAACACTCATTAAAAAAATTATGTAGCTTTTCACCAACATATATTTACCGTTTTCATACCATACGAGAGTTTATTTAATTAAATCAAAAATGGTAGCCAGAAAAACTGTAACGGGGGGACTGTTAGTTACATCCAAATTGACACCTTTGATTGTGAAGGAATGTCGAAATTGATCACAACATCCACATGAGGAATGTCCAGACCACGTGATGCCACGTCAGTTGCCAACAAAATAGACCTGGATTTCGCTTTGAACTTATTCAGCGCCCCCAGTCTTTTACTCTGGTTCATTTGACCATGTAAAGGAATAGCTGTGAAGCCCAAATTACGTAACAATAACGCAACCCTCTGTGTATTAGCACAAGTGGCGCAAAATATAATGACTGATTGACCTTGAAGTTCGTTCACCAGGTAGACCAAATAACAATCTTTATACTTTGAAGGTATGAACAAATAGTACTGCAATAGTTTTTCAACTGTCTGATACTTTGAACTGACTTCGCATTTGATCGGATCTGTTAACGATGCCCGCTCTAGTTTTTGCACCTTTTTGGTCATCGTTGCTGAAAATAGATAAGTGGTTCGTTCTTTCGGACAAACTGCTAGGATCTTTTCTAATTCTTTTTCGAAGTCTGAGTTGAGGATTCTGTCTGCTTCATCCATGACCAGGTGTTTGATTGTCTTAAGTGAGAACCCTTTTGTGTTCTCTAGATGATCAACCAGCCGACCTAAAACATCAACGCCCAGCTTAACTTCTTTGTATATTTGGACGTCTCCCTAATTAGATGCTGAAGCTGGAGGTCCTTTTTTTGTTGTTTTTCTAATTTGTTATACTGATAAAAGGCAAAATGCGTAATTTCAAAAATTGGACTTTGCACAGAACCTTAGTTGCTCTCTACTAAGAGTGCAAATTGTTGAGATTTGGAATTTTCCCAAAGACTTTGTCTTTAACAAAAAATTAAGGAGTAGCCGCTTCTGCAGAAACAATTCGCGCAACCACTTCTTTCGATTGAAATTTTCATCTCAGATTTGATAGGGGAGTTTTTAAGAAAAATTTCTACAAAACGATCAAAGTTCAAAAATTGGGCTTTCCGACATCGGCAGTTTTTTCTGCTAAAAGCAGGTCGTGGCCGGTAAAGTAGAGAAGATTCCCCAAAATCGGGTATCTCGAGAGAACACTTAACCTGAAAATTGGCACGGTAATTTTCGAGCAGAGTCAAAAAAACTCTTTTAGAAGGCCATAACTTTTTTCTGCTGTGTCGAATTAAAGTGATATCGAATTTGGCAGGATAGTTATCGAGAAAAAGTCCAAAAAACGGTAAACAAATCAGAAAGTTGACATTTCCGAGAATCATAATTTTTGTTTATAGAAAAGTTTCAAAACACGGTAAGAAAAAATCAAAATTTTTACTTTTCAGAGGGCGTAGTCGCGTATGCAAAGGAGCTTCGCACAAACCGTTCTTTGGATTGAACCCAAAGTCTCAAAAATGGTAAGGTATTTTTCGGAAAATTCATGAAATTTAAACGAAAACGCTCAAAAATATGACTTAGTTTTCGAGAAAAGTCAAAACATTCAAAAAACAATCAACTTCAAAGAATGCATAAATTTGCATTGAACTTAAAAAAACTCAGAGTCAAACCGCGAAAAATCAAAATTGAGAGAGATCAAATTTTACCACCACTTGTTGGAAAAGACCTTAACAAGTCTCATCACATATTCTTTTAACTGCATCATAAATGCGAGAAAAAATGTCTAGCTGCAAAACATTTAATAGTTCAATGAAATGGGAAAAATTTGCGACTAGAATTTTTTCTCGCATTGATGCAGTTAGAATGATTAACATACCGGGAGTTGCGATGATGATATGAGGCCGTTTAGCCAACTGCAGACTCTGAGTCATCTGGTCTACACCTCCCACAATCACCACACTTTTCACTCCAAATGAGCTGCCCAAGGCTTCGAAATGCTCCGAGATCTGGAACGCCAACTCCCTCGTCGGAGTCAGAATCAGAGCAAACAACTTCTGACCTTTCTCCAACAGATCTTGCAAGATGGGAAGAGCGAAGGCTCCAGTTTTACCCGATCCAGTTTCAGCCAGACCGATGACATCTCGCCCCTGGATCGAATGGGGGATCGATTCTCGTTGGATTTTTGTCGGAACTGTCCAGCCAACCTCTTCGCAAACTTTACATATAGAGTCTTTGATTCCGAGTTGAGAAAAAGAGGTTACTTCATTTTCGACCCCACCATTCTCGTTTCTATCATCAGCTTCACTCATTGCAATTGATGCTCAAAAGCTATCATAACATCTGAAAATTCGTATGCATTACAAATTACGAATTTTTTTCCTACAACAAAAAGCATCCTTCTGAGCAACACAAAAGACAGTTTTCTAAAAAACTAAATTCAATTTATCAAATTAAATTCAAAGCAGAGATGAAGACACTTTATGTACGATTTATTTTAGGACAAGAGAAGCCTCATAGTTTTCGGAAGACTTATTGGAAAAAGTAATTTCACGAAATTTTTTTGCGAGATCTCCCATAACTTTCTGTTAACCTGTTATACTAACACCCAACTTTCCCATCACTATTTTGGCATTCATGAACTCACCTCAACTATGGTCTTAATTGCGTGACATTCGTAGCAGACAAATTAAAAAAATTGAGTGTCATTCGTGCAAGTCAAAGGTCTACAAAAATAGCCCGAGAAATGGGTTAACAAATTTTTCAACCAGCTTCGCATGTGCTCAAGCTTACCAAAATGTATAAATTTTTTCGTTAGTGAGCTAGAACGATATTCGAAATTTGATAACTGGTATTTTCCGAATCACCTAGCGCACCTTGCATGCTGACAAACTTTCATGTAACAAAAAAGAATGGATTTGTGTTTAATATCTGGACTTTCAAAATTTCGCTTAAGACAAGACCTAGATTGGTCATTTCCATAATTCCAGACCCGCATGCCTGAATATTAGAAACTCCAGGCCAAAACGAGCGAATCTTGTATAAATTCAAGAAAAATAAAATGAATCAATGGCGGACAACCAGAAAGCTCAAATGATTCAGAAACGTCCAGTTTGAGGTAGAATTATGCCAGACTGCATGTATTGAAGGCGCTTCTTTTGTGTGTAGGTCTAAATTACGGGAAAACAGAGAAGTCTCCTCTTGAATAATTGTAGATTTCACTTGGTAATACTGGGACACTAATACTAGGTTTTCTACAATTCCAAAAGGGTCAGACTAAATCCCCCGATCAAGGGATTACGCAAGTTCCCAATTGGTTCGGGCTCGTTTCCGCTCTCTTGCGTTTCTAGCTAGTTCAGCAAACGTGGGCACAATAATTAAATTCTTCAACTGCAAAGGAAACAAAGGCAATTTAAAAAGCCCTTAACGAGCAAACTACTATTAACTAATTCTATGACGAAGCCCGCGTTTCGCTCAATTTACCCGCTTCGTTAAATCACTCGTCGGTCTTCACTGGACTCAATTCCAAACTTGCCAGCTGCGACAGCGCAATACGCTCACGCAATTAAATCAGTTCAAAGCTCGAACTCAATCAACTAAACTAATTAAATTACAATTGTTCCCTCCGGAACTAGTCCGAAGGCAACTACCCGGAATCTAACCTCGGGTCGGACCATTTCAATATCTCGCTAAATCACTCACTGAGACGCAGTCATTCAGCTGGTCATTTTTCCTCCAGCCATCTCAGATTCTGTTCTCTATAACTTTGAGAACGCACTATTCCAATCAATAGAAATTCCCGTTCTGCCTTAAGGTCGGCTGTTTGTTGATCTATATTATACTATTCTATTTGAGTTTTAGTTTGTAGTTAGAGTTAGAGTCAGTCCTCATATTTATTCTGGTACCCTTTGCGCAACGTCCTGGCCAAAATTTTCCCTAACAACAAAAATTTATAATGCCAAATGCAGCATAGGTATCTCAAATTAAGTTGTGCAAATCCCAACTCTAATTTCACCTCTAAGCCAGGTTATGTTTATTTAAACATCTTTCCAAGATTTTATTCATAATTATCCCGTTAACGTCTTGACCTGTCGAAGTTGGCAATAAGTTTTTCGTGGGTAGCTTATCTACTTCATGCATCTATCAATTCTATCTAAACTCTATTCTAATCCCGACCTTTTAGCTATCAGCGTAACGTAACTTATTGAGCGTAGCGTAGCGTAACGCTTATTGAGGGTCAAATTGTGCCAAAAAGTAAAATCAAGGAAGCTAAAAAATATCCCATTCAAATTATTTTGACGACCTACTTAACCTGCTACGCTTCTATTAGTGCCATTTTCCTCTGGGAATAGTTTTCTCTGTCTGATTGAGCTTCTATCAATAGCTCATTCGCCAAGCTAAACTGCAATAAGTCATTCGGCAAGCAATGTTTGCCAAGTTCACTTTAATTAGTTCAGTACTTCAATTTTACAATGCAAAAGCTATATCACTTTAAGCTTCTGCTTTAGTTCCCAATAGATAAGTTTCCTCCCAGTTACAATTCAGATGACTGGTTCTAATTTCAAAGTGTTAGGGCAGGCAACAGCGCCACTTTCCGGTGTTAATTCCAAGTTTTTTAGCAATTTTGGGCATAAACGGCAGAAGGTCATTTAAAATTCACCCCGGCATCAATCTTTTGTATTTTTGTTCAGAATCCCATAGTACCATTCATATCCCATCAATACTTTCCAAGTTATCCTATTTCTAAAGTCCACTCTCACTTTTCCTGAAAAAGGCTATTAAAACTAAAAAGAGTAACCGGAGGGGTTTCAATCACTTGGGGCTTTTTTTCGTAGTTTGTGTCTAGTGTTTTTTAACGCCATGAAATCAAGATGCCCTCGCTCATTTCTTTGCGTAGATTGCCTATTTCTGGTCTAAGGGGTGTTTTTCAAGTGCTAATAACTTCCAGTCAAACCGCCAGCTTTGACTCAAATTATGAGAGATGATGTAATTCGTCACTACCGATCATATCCCAAAGTTTTTGCTCCCTGCGTTCAGTGGGGGCCGAGAAACGACATCTGGAAGTCGAGGTGGGGGCTATTTAGTTAGGGCATAACACCGGAACAGAGATCAATGGAGTTTGAGGTTCCAAACCTAAGCTTTCTTCAACTGGGTCTAGAACATACCAAATTTTGGCCCCATTCCAAAAGCTAGTTCCAGGGTTGTAAATGTCAATTTGCAATTCCGCAAAGCGTTATCACTGATGCCAGGGGATCCTAGGGGTCCGGGTTTTCGCATACCAGGGTCAAATCACCTTTAGTACCCATCCTATGCGTTGCAAAAAGATAGCTTCTTAAGTTTCCACTGGGGAGGGAGGTAGACTAAATCGGAACCGTCTTATAAATTTCGGAAGAGGAGGGACAAATTCTTTCAAGATTCGAAAAATTTCAAGATTGGTCATTTGTTTGCTTTTCTACTAGTCGTATTGGTTAGTCAATACTCAGCTACATGTTACTTATTGCCCTCCACTATCGCGCACCCTTATGTCATTTTCATTAATATGGACTACAAAGCCTATAATTAAAGCTTTGATTAACATAATGGTAACTCACGAGATCGAGAGGTCCTTCGTCCTTATTTGAATGACACGCAGCGGGAACCTTACCACCGGAAAAATTTCAAATTGACGTTTAGATGGCGAAAATGGGACCGGGACGGGAAGGTCGTCTTACACGACCGGAACGTTTATTCGACATTGATAGGGGCGCATGAGGTCACGTTGAGCCATCGGGGAGGCTATCACTGTCTGGAGCAGGAATGTCGCACCAGGTTCCAAGTAGAGTACCTGCGTCAATACTGTCGTGCCCTTTGTATTGACTGGGAGGGCTATGTCGAAAACAGCAAGACGATTGTTAACGACAGGCCAATGATAAACCTATCGCCGGAGATACGAGTCCACATTTGTCGAAGCTTGGGACTGACAATAGGAAACAACCCTATTATAACAGAGGAGAGCGTCAAAACTGACCCCCTCTGATAAGAGCGATGGCGCTAGAATGCGCTTGCCCGGGTCCAATTGCTTGCTAGATTAAATCTATCAGCTTCTTGCCGGAACTACTGATCGGTCTACGAAGCTTCAAAAGCCGCTCGCGGAACAGCAACGTGAGCAACTTGCCCAATAACAGTAGCCTTTTACCTGCTTTTCAACCACTGCCAGAGTCTCGTCCAACGCTGGATCTTTGAATAAGATATTCACGTTTTGGCCGAAATGCTGTATCACCTCGAGCAGGGCCAGAAAGCTAACAAGAATTTCATCGCAGGGCATACGGGTGGTCAGAGGCCATTTACTTACTGTATAAGGTTCAAGCTCAGTCGGGGGAATGGCACTCTCTGCTCGTTACGGGCGTAGGCCCGCAGTGTACTTAGGGAAGTAGAGAATTAAGCAACCAACAATACCGAAGGATCTTTCCCAAAATTTTCCGGACTGTTTTTTGCAAACTTTTCCATAACGACCTTATTAACAAACAACTTCAATTTTGGCGTGTTTAAAATTTTTTTCTGAAAAAAAACATGTTTTCAAAATGCTTTTGAATTTCAATTTTACGTTTAAAAACAGAAGGCAATCATACTTTGATAGACCAGTTTTAAAAAATGTAGTTGGAAATATACGATATTGCTTAAACATGCAAAAATTCTTTCGTTAAACATGCAAAAATAATATGTTAAAAGCTTAAACATGGCGAGCAAGTGAAGCCCGCATTTAAATATATAATATATTATGATATGGACAATTTTACAAAAAATGCTTAGGCATTCCTACACATTCTTGCGAGAAGAGTGATTACCGATGTCTACAACGTAAAGAGTTCGGAGGCAATAAGATATGCCGAACACCACCACAGCCGCCATCTCATCATCATTGGAAATTAAACATCAAACAAAAATATGCTGCAGTGGCAATTGAATTTCTTCATGAATTAGGGTATGCTGACAAAACAGATGCTGGTTATTGCGTAAGAGAACCATTTGTTTGTGACAAACGGATGTATGCAGCCACTTCAGGTGAACACCTGCTTCCAACATGCGTAAGATTGTTTCAAACTTTAGAGTCAAGCACCACTTTACTGCTCTGTACCGGCCAGTTTTCATGCACCTATTTAACCAGATACGCTAGTAAAACCGAGGAACATGCCAAGGGAAAGATATCACGTGGAAGGCAAGGGTTTCAGACTGAGAGATAATGGAATTCAAAACAAAAATTTGGCTTCTGTGAAATTTATTTTAGAAAATGAACCACGAAATAAGCGAAACATGGAGCCCATTAGTTGTCCTTTAGTGGCATTAACTGAAAGTTTTTTTG